CCTCCCAGCTTCCCTCAGCCGCCGGGGGAGCGCTGCAGAGCGGCCGCGGCCGGGCCGGCCTCCTGAGGAGCACCTGGAGGTCTCGTTAAAGGAGGGGGGCATTGATTGCACCCCTGCATCTCCCTCGTGTGCGCTGCAGGGGGGTGTGAGGACCATGAAGAAAAAGGGTGCCAATTCTGATTATTTCCTACCCTTCTTTATAGAATCATAGAATGGTTTGGGTTGGAAGGGACCTTATAGATCATGTGGTTCCAACCCCCCTGCCATGAGCAGGGACATCTTCCACCAGCCCAGGGTGCTCAGAGCCCCATCCAACCTGGCCTTGAGCACTGCCAGGAAGAGGCAGCCACAGCTTCTCTGGGCAACCTGGGCCAGGGCCTCAGCACCCTCATGGTGAAGAAACTTCTTTAAGAAGTCACTGCCTCACCTGTGTGGCACCACCGGCAGCCTCTGTTTGTGGGGTTTTTCCAAAACTTAGCTGGGAAGGCTAAACCCAGCAGCTTTGTTTGGTTCTGCATTTTTAAGGGAGGAAGTTTTATGTGAGAAAACCACTTTTAATGCCTTAAAACGGTATTGTTATGTGTGAGTTTTGAGTCCTCATCACCTAAAGACTCGTTGGTGCTCTCCAGGACTGGCTTCCCTTGCACTGAACAGCATAAGCTGTTTTTTCAGTTGTTTTACTGACTAAAATGTCGAATGTGATTGTGTTTGTGATTGTGAATTTAGCATTAAATAATCAATGCACCACAAGCCTAAAACTGCGTATTCTGTTGTGTCTTACGCGTGCATGCATATCTACTTTTCTTTGAATCACAGAGTTGAATAGAGTGGTAGAAACGTTCCTCTGCACAACCTAGTGCTTGCTGTGAATTTTAAGCATGAGTTCTGGAAGAGAACAGCAGCTTTAAAAAGTTTTCTAAGACATCACCTCACTGTAAATAGTTCAAGCTTTTTTTACACCTATTACACCCAAACAAACAACTTTTGTTTGCCTATATAAGGGAGTTGTAGCATGATTGTTATTTTTGCATGCAAAATATATTTTTGCAATTTATTGTTTGTATGTGCACGTATAAAGGTTGTTGTTTGATCTAAAACTATGTTAACTTTATTGCAAGTGCATGCAGGTCAGGAAAAGCAGCAGCACTTGCGTGGTTGCTGGGTGCGAGCCATCGTAGGGGCACGAGAAGAGAATATCCGTGTCCAAAGTGAGGACATAACTGCTGCTGCAGCTGATCAGCTTCAGACCACAGCAGAGTCCTTGAAGCGTTCTGATTATCTTAGGTTTTCTGTGGGGGAGAGGGAAAAGAAGCTTGTCTCTAGATGGAATAACTAATTATCTGGGGGATTTTCTTTTTCCTTTCAGCGGTGGGTGTCTGAAAAGTTCATTGTTGAGGGCTTAAGAGAGTTCGAACTGTTTGGAGGTAAGTTGTCCTCTTGCTAGGTGACATTGTTAGAAATGCTTTATTTTAGCCGCAAGCTCTGTTAATTCAGTTGTAAATACCTATCTTAACAGTAAAACAGATGAATAGATCTGATTGTACCAGCAGATCTGGTTATTCAAGCTGGCTAACCGTATAGAGTTAATATGGAAGCGGCCAAGATCTAGCAAGCCATTTGGAAATCCATTTCGTGTGGATGGCAGTACTATTTTCAGACCCTGCGTGATGTATTTCTTAGCATACCCACTTTTTTTTCCTATGCAAACGATAGATTTGGGGTTTGGGAAGGTTATAATTTTCCAACTAAAAAAGGGTTTTGAAACTCTGATGATAGCTCCCCAGCGTGTCTGCAGGAGAGCTGATTGGTTCCTGCTCTGCTTTCTGCCTAACGAGCAGAATTGCCCACTGGGATGCAGAATTCCTGATCAGTGATGCAGAAGGCGATGAGAGCATAGGGAAGATGCCTAGATCTTGAGCTTCCAGGTGGCGTGGAAGAATTTTCACTGCTTTAAATAAACTTTAGATAGTTTCCTCTGTATTTAAGCAAAGTGGATACGTAATTTTTGAATGCATTTAGAGGTATAATAAAAAAATTGTCACCTTACACTGATGCTGAATATATGAAGAGTAGCACTGTATGAATCTCTTTAATTCCCATACTTGTACTACAATTTGATTATTTCTAGTGCTCCAACCCTATGTGTACAGTAAATATATTTGTCTAAAAATATATATATTGTATGTATTTGGTATCAAAAAGTGTTGTGCAGGGTTATTTACTCATTTTTCCAACTATATTTTTAATGGGTATCTGTTGAACACAACATGGTGAACAATTAATTTCTTTACTCCAGAGCAGCCTCCGGGTGACTCTCGGAGAAAAGTAAGTGACTTTTGCAGGCTGTGGTGCTGTGGTTCATTGCATGGAGATTATTCCTTGTGGAAGTTTGATTTTTCTTTTTATCTTAGTTATATATTTCATCTCTATATTTAGCTCTACAAGTGTGGAAACAGGTTTCACCCTGGAGTGGAGATTTTGGTGTGTGGTTTTCAAACTATGTGTGACAAGTCAAAATTTTAAACTTAATCTCTTGGATTTGTATTTGTGTCGCCGTGCCCTCTCCCCCCAGCTCCCTAAGGGTGTCTGTTTTGAGATGATTTAGATCTGATTCTTCAGAGATGCTAATCTCTTACAGCTCTCTTTTAGAATAAAAGGAAGAGGTTAGTTTATGGGACTTCTGACAACTTGTCCAAAAAAATGTTACGTTGGCCACTCAAACTCGGTGTTCCCTTCTGAACACTTTGATTCTGATTTCCTTTCTCTTCCCAGTAGAGCAGCCACAACATAGGCTCCAACATCAAAACCAAATATCATGTAATTTTCAGTTTGAGGTGATTTTACGTCCTGTTGCCTGGTCGTTTTCAGAGCCAGTTCTGTGCATGCTTAGATAACTTTGCCTCTTAGAAACTAAAATCACTTGTGAACATGGAATGTCTGCTCAGAAACCTGCAGCTGAAAACTTCACCTCTGATGCTTTTTGTTCTGCAGGCCCTGATCGCACAGTATCTGGTTCATAATGAACAATGCTCATAGAACGACATAACTTCTGATCAAATATATTTGTCTAAATGATTTTTCACCTGCCCACACCATAACAGTTCTGTGTGCAGCTGTTGCCTAGCTTAAGCTAATTACAAACATAAATTAAGTGTGATCTGATTATAACTGTGTCAGTTCAAGCTGCTTACAATTGATTTTTGTGCCATTGTCTCTAATTTACTGGCACAAACACAGCTGAAAATATGAGATGTACCTCGAGTGTTTTGTATGAAGTCAAGTAAATTCACACCTTTTTTTCAATTGCTGAACGTTACGCATATGCTGGACTGGAAGCAAATTGAGCTTCGTATCCATTTGGGCTTTGTTACAGTATTCACTTGGGGTTTGGTCACCTCTGCTGTGGTATTGCTCACTCTTATTTTTACATTTCAATAAAAGCTTACTTTTTGCAGCAGGGCTATAGAAAAAGGTAAATAATCTGGGGAGAGGGATGTGAGGAAAATTTTTGTTACTCATGCTGAAAGTGAGTGAGGGAATGAGGAGGGGGAGAGGAAGGCAGCAGAATGAAAACAACATTCCCTCTTCCTAATTCAGACGAATATCATTTGGCAAATGCAGATCCTTGCTAGCATCACATAACTGATTTTCTTATGGCATTTATAATAGTAGTTGTCTTTCAAAGATCAATTTCCTTAAATCTATTTCAAATTAAAATCAGAGCAACAAGCCGGAAAGCTAGCTCTTAACGAGTGTCATGCCATAAAACTAGTCATATATGACTTCATTTTACAGTTGCTTTTGACCATACACCAAAAGTTGTCCTGTGTGAAACCACTGAGGAGCTTTTTTGCAGTATTTCATAAATGACATTTCAGTTTAACTTTTTTTTTTTAAACTCTTGTATGATGTTGATAAATCTCTGGTAGAGCTCCTTTTGCATTAACTCTCAGTTACTGGTCACTGCTAACATGAAGAGAGGTGAGTGAAGACCTCCGATGTGCTGGAAGACTTTTAAAAAGGGAATTTACAGTGTTTTTCCATTACTGTTGAAACAGCCTTACACCATTAACAAGATTAAACTTATTTGATTTTTTTCATCTGTTTTGTTGGCTTACGCTGTATCTGGAGTGGACTCTATTAAAGCAAACCACTTACATATTGCTCAGTGTTTCACCAGCTGTCATTGCTCCATAACGCTGCTTATAAGAGCTTCCTGCTTTCATTTCCTTGGTGGTGCCTTTCTGCTTCAGAGGTTTCCATCTGCCTGTGTGTCTCTCCTGGCAATCTGGGTGTTGACAGGACTGTGTGAAATTGCTGGAAGAAGTAATGAATGATACAATTGAGATCAGAACTGACAGGCGTCTTTAACAGAAGTTTGAAATCGTGAATGGAAAGTTGCTGCCTATTCTCAGCCAAGCAACAGCACTGTGTAGTGTTAGGACTAGCATAAAGGATTTGGGCCTGCTGAGATCGCAGGGGTTAGCTGCCTGGAAACAGGACCGAGTTGCCACGCTGGAGTTGTTTGAGCTGAAATTGTACCATAGCACTGTTCACAAATCTGAAGTTTTGCCTTTTCCCTAAAATGTGTGTTGTTCAAAGCCAGTTGAAAAGGTGGAACTTGGGAAGTGTGACTATTAATTTACTCCCAAAGTATACTTAGAGACCCAAAGGTAACTTAGGGCAAGTTCATGTCTGTGCTCATTGCACCACGTTTACCCCAGACTGAGTGCAGAACAGCAAGTTCCTTGTTTTTCAGCTGTCACTGTGTTGTTTCCATCTTTCAGTGATGGAAAGAAGAGTATTTGCTGTCACTCTAGGAAAATGCACAAGCCTCTTCTGCTTCATGTACCGTGAGAAAAGGTCTGATAAAGGGCATTTGCAGCTGATGAGGAATGAGGTGGAAAAAATGAGCTGGAGTTCCAAATGTCAGCAGAAGTTAATGTGCTGGAAATTTGAGAGAACTAAATGTGATCTTAGACACCAAATAAATTTGGTTCCCCATTAGGATGCTCTCCTTGGGACTTTGGAAATTTGAGGGAGTTGGAAGGTACAATGGAACTTGCTAGAACATTGAAGTTTGTCTTCTGCAGAATCCTGCTTGGAAGGATTTATGTGAGTGTCAGTACAGCAGATTGCTTCATGTCGGAGGGAGTGAAGAAGAGCTGACAGGCTTGGGAGTGCTGCATCCCCGTGCGGTGTGGGGTCTTTTTTATTTTCTTTTTTTGTTGTTTCTTTTTGCTGTAAGCACTGATGCTTTGCAGTTACGTTTTTGCTGTCATTTGGAGCTTCCCTTTTCATGTGTGTCTGATCTTCATAACTTGGGCTAAGCTGGTTCATCACTTCTACCATTCAGCTAAGCAGCTTCAGCTGCGCCGGTCCTACCGCAGAAGAAGTGCTGTGAACAAAGCTTTCCTTTGATGGCCTTTGCTCAGGCAACAGGATGGTGGCACAGAAGTTTGTAATTAATGGGAGAAAGGTAGTTACTATAAAGCAGTGTGTGTGCTGTCCTGGGGAATAGTAATTGGCTTTATCTGAATATGCCTAAAGACATTCTAGCTTACAGTAATGAAGAACCTACCTGTTATGGTTACATGTCTTGAAACACAGATGTCTGGATCTTCTGAAATGAGGCATCTCCTGGATTTCAATTGATAAATAACTGTTTTAAATTATTTTAACAGCAATTAAATTCTCTCTTCTGTATTCAGTGTGCTATTATTGAGGTGTATAATAATATAAGGTGCAGATGATTTTTCTAGCACATGATCTTTTTCTTGTGACCTGACTTTATTTTTTCCCCCCAGACAAATGAGGCGAGCTCCGAGTCGATAGCTTCTTCCCCTAAAAGGGACACCATGAGCAACTTCCTACCAGACAGCAGCTGTTACGAGTTGCTCACTATCATAGGTAATACTGCTAGTGGGCTGGGGGATCGAAAGCCTGCTTTGCAGACTAAAGAACTTCTGCAGTTTGTTGGCCTTTTCTTGATTGATTGCTTATTTTTGACATTAGATGCCTGTCCTTTCTGATTTTAAAATCACTTTAATAAAAAATGAGATGCTGATCCTAAAGGTTTTCAACTGAAAGAGGCAGGTTAATGATACCGAGTGTGAAGTACAAAGTCAGCAGAAGCAGCCTGAAACCTCTCCCTGTCCTTGGTGGGGTTGTGGCCTAATCATTTTATTTCTACCTCAGTTCTGAATTTGAAAGACAGCATATTACTGGCTAGGAGGATTTCTCTTGATGGGATATCTGCCAAGGAAGGTGCTATCTGATGGAATGATTACTCTTTTTCACAAGGCCAAAAATAGTTTCAGTAAATGAGCGCAAAGACTACTGAAGGGTCAAGGACTGGAGGAGTTTTTCAGAAGTGTGTGGTTCCAGAAGTACTCCTGAAGCTGTAATGCCTTTTCTTTCAGGCAGAGGCTTTGAAGACTTGATGGTTGTGAACCTGGCCAGGTATAAACCCACAGGAGAGTATGTCACTGTCAGAAGAGTGAACCTGGAGGCCTGCACGAATGAAATGGTCACATTCTTGCAGGTAACGCAAATTCACTAATACCATAATGCAAGTTTAGGAGAGGAGAGACAGTAAGGGCAGTGCTTGTCAATGCTGTGTTCATATTTCTGCATTTACTAAATTGAATAAAAATATCTTTTTTTATTCTAGGGGGAACTTCATGTTTCCAAGCTTTTCAACCACCCTAACATTGTGCCGTACAAAGCAACTTTCGTAGCTGACAATGAGCTATGGGTAGTGACATCTTTCATGGCCTATGGTAGGTGGAGAGGAAATACCTTTGGCTGACTGTCATACTCTGGGAAAGGAAATTTTAGAGGTGAAGTATCCTTGGGGCTTTTATTCTGACCAGTTAAGAGGTGTTTTGTTTCTTTTCAGGTTCTGCAAAAGATTTAATCTGTACCCATTTTATGGATGGGATGAGTGAACTGGCTATTGCATATATCCTCCAAGGCGTATTGAAAGCACTTGACTACATCCACCATATGGGCTACGTACATAGGTAGGTCCTGGGTCCATAACCTTTAGTCCTGCATTTCTCCTTGCCACAGAAACATTCTTTGGGAACCTGCAGAGTGGGTGAATCGAGTCCTGCTGATGTTTGTAAAAGTGGTTTTGCACAGCATTCAGGATGGTTGTCAGGAGCCTCAGCCTTCTGGCAGGAGACTGATCAACTACTGTCCTGCGCCTTGAGCTGTCCAGTAAAGTAGGCTTTTCTCCTTCCTGTAGGTGCTCAGTAAGGATGAATTTCTTTTTAGTACTACAGCTTCTGTTTGTATCTTTCCAAATCACTGTCTCCACCCCTTCGCATATTTTTCCTCTTCTCTGATACATTTCCTCTGTTGCAAGAGTAAACATGCTGAAAGTTCTGGGTTATTAGTGGTTACTACTTTTATTGTATGTACTGTAAAATGAATTCGGCTTACCTATGTGTGGCTTAAATCCTTTGCAGTGCCCTTCTGCACTTAGTCTTCCTGGGAAAGCTGTAAGGAACGTAAGTCCTTTGAGGGCAGACAGCCTGACTATTTTTACTTCTTTTTTTCTAGGAGTGTTAAAGCCAGCCATATCCTGATCTCTGTAGATGGGAAGGTGTACCTCTCTGGTCTGCGAAGTAATCTAAGTATGATCAACCACGGGCAGCGACTCAAAGTTGTTCACGACTTCCCCAAATACAGCATCAAAGTCCTGCCTTGGCTCAGTCCTGAAGTCTTGCAGCAGGTGTGTTTAAAAAAAGTCTGCTAGTTTTCAGTGATAGATAGTAGGTCTGTGCAATTTGCCGAGTTCTTATGGCATCTTCAGGGTGTGTGTGAGGGGGGACATGACAAAAACCACAGGGTTATTTTTTCTTGTGATGAGCTCTATCCTTTTTTGTTATCCCTTCTACCTTAAAACCAGTGACCCCTAGCAAGGGGAAACCTGTATTCCTGTCAAAAGGGGCAATTGCTGAGAAGCCGATGTTACAATGTTCTTTCCCTCCAGAGGAAGCTGTGCAGATGCAAGGAAAAGGAAGGGGAAAGGCTAGAGGAAACAGGCTTGGGGTGGGCACAGGGCTAGAATTTGATCTGATCTGTTTGACTAAATAGTTCTCTGGTAGATACCTCTACAGATTCTCCTATTAGCAAAGTGTTACATTAGTTGCCAGTTACCCTAAGGTGGATGCCATCCCTACTAGCTAGCTGATTTCAGTTAAATAAATGTTGCCCTTAACTGTTGGTTTTAACAAACAAAAGAACCACAATAAACCCGCCTATATGTGGGTTGTATTATTTCTACTCTGATCATTTGGGTTTGCTCTTCTGCGTATCGAATTGTGGGCATTGCCCATCTTCCATAACATGCAAGTCCACAAGACTAATTTTTATTTTCCTTTTCTTGTAGAATCTCCAGGGTTATGATGCAAAATCTGATATTTACAGTGTAGGCATAACAGCCTGTGAGCTGGCAAATGGACACGTACCATTTAAAGACATGCCTTCTACTCAGGTAAGGCTTAAAAGCTGTTCCTTTCTCATCCTTACCCTGGCAGATGGAACTGCCTTGCTGCACTGGGATGTGAAGACAGAAGGGTGCTGTGCCTGCCTGAATTCCCTTCCCATTGCTGCTTTTTCTGTAGAACTGCAGTGCTTCTGTATTAAACTGTTGGTGTCACAATGGTAGTGTCCAAGTTCTGAGAACATCTGAAATCCACTGACCACTTAACTGTCTAGTCCTTGTGTGTGTGTGCATGTGATGTTTTTTATGCCCCTTCTCTTCCAGATGCTCTTGGAGAAGCTGAATGGAACTGTTCCCTGCTTGCTAGACACCACAACAATTCCTGCTGATGAGCTGACTATGACAAACTCCCGTTCAAGTGCTAACTACGGGATGGGCGAGAGCATGGCTATTAGCAATGTGAGAGCGGCCAACGGAGAGCCAACCCTGCACCCGTACCTTCGGACCTTCTCCACCTACTTCCATAACTTTGTAGAGCAGTGCCTCCAGCGGAACCCCGATTTCAGGTAAAGCCAGGTAAAAACTGCTCTTCACAGACCTGCACTGTTCTAGGGCAAATTAAACTGAGAGAGCCAGTAGAGGTTATTCAAAGTTTTCTTTCCAAAGGCATAGTGGAGCGAGGATCTGCTCCATACATTGAGAAGAGCAGTCCAAGTATGTAAAACAAGAGCAGTGTTAACACTTTGAGCACTTTCTGTAAGAGAGCCTGAAGAGTTACTTGGACATGTAACCTTCTTGGAGCATAGAGTGGTGCTACGTGTCAGGAGAACAAACTGAACATGCTGAGTTTCTGGTCCCTGGGAGACAGCATTTACCCAGCTTCCCTGACTGCGAATGTCTGCTGTTCAGCACAGAGTAATGATGGGAAGTGACCGAGAACTGTATTTTCCTCTGTAGTGAGCGTAAGGTTGTCTTTAGCCAGGACAAACTTCTCTAGCATACCACACTGTTCAGAAACTTCCCCTTGACCAAATGTTGGGGTGTGCAAGTAGGTAACTTGCACAGAAGGTTGAGCTGCTTGCATGAACATAACAAGCAGTGCTACTGGTTACAAAAGGGAGATACCCTGTAGCTGAGACATGGGAGAGGCAGGAAGGACCCTGGTCTCTTCTTTCTTCCACTACCACTACCTGACTTTAAACACTGACGCATTTTCTTGTGTGCTTACCTTATTCTAACTCCCTTCTACAGGCCAAGCGCAGGCACTCTGCTTAGTCATCCCTTTTTCAAGCAGGTAAGGAACTCATTTAATCTGCAGATAAAGAAGGGTGGTGTTTCTGTAGTTGTTGTCTTGCTCCGTCACTGAACCTCAAGGTAGGAATGTTGAGTTGCTGAATTTTCTGTGATCTGAAAGGATTTAGTTAGTTTGGTGACTAATAGTAGTGCAGCTTGGTGACCCTCACGTTCTCGTGGGAGGTGGACGGGCTGTTCTCAATGCATCGCTTCCTTACCTGAACAGGGGATGTCAATCTGCCACTCCTGTACGCCCAGAGGTTCTCACCCACAGACGACTGTGTACTGGGGCAAGGCAGTCCTAACCTGGTCCTTGCCGAGACCAAACTGAGGTGACCTGTGCTTTGCTTACAGCTGTGTGGCAGCTGGGCAAACTCCAGCCCTGGCATGGGGAGAGGCAGAGGCTCTCCTGCTCCTGAAATCATTCGTCTGGCGTGCTCTGAGCTGAGGGCTAGGGTGGTGCTTCACAGATGGGAGCGTCAGGACCACAGCACCAAATTGCTGCTGAAAAGACTGCACGCAGAGCACCTTCTTGTTACCAAGATGCAGAGCGAAAGCCCTGCACGTCTCTCAGTGCAGCCGGGAGGATAACGCTGCATTCTTACTTTCTGCCTGTATCCACATATTGTTGCTGCTTGACTGATTCATAAGTGTGGGGAAGCATTTCAGTGGCCGAGTTCTCCTCTTTCTGTGCAGATCAAGCGCCGTGCTTCTGAAGCGCTCCCTGAACTTCTGCGCCCCGTCACCCCGATCACCAATTTTGAAGGAACACGGCCCCAGGATCCCAGTGGCATTTTTGGGCTGGTGTCAAACCTGGAGCAGCTGGATGTGGATGACTGGGAATTCTAGAAAAACAGGGACTATACCCCGTTCTGGAGGAGCTTTCTGGACACTGTAATTTATTGGTCCTGTTCATAAAAGATGAATGTTACACATAGAAGAGTTTACAGGTCCTTGGGAAGGAACTTCAACTGCCTGTTTACTTAGGAAGTAGCCGGGAAGCAAAAGGACAGACCTGAGCTGGAAAAGGATCAACCCCAAGGAACTGTGGAGTGTTCCAGATGGTGCAGTGCCCAGAGCCCTGGGTCTTGCAGCTGGGCTCTGGTAGATCACTCAAATGGGCTGAGTGAGTCTGTTTAGTTACGGTCTCTATGTATTCTAAAAATCACTGGCTTCCTCGTGTCACAGTTGAAGGCTGCGTGTCCCTGCCCTCTTTGGTTCTTTCCTTTACGGGTGCCTTAGAGTCAAGGGGAGGCAGGCAGCTCTTCGTTTTGGGCATTCTCTTAGCGCTGGTGAGACTACTGTTAACAGTGTTGTCACAGGGTACGTTTTGAGGGTGGGGACAAAAAGGATTACGCTCTTAAAATTTAGTCACTGCTCTGTGATGGAAAATGGGAGATCAGAGATGACCAGATTCTGTTTGGGGCACCTTCACTGCCTCGGGCATTCCTCTGCACTGCTGGATTCCTCTCTTCCAGTTCTAGAGAGAGCTTCTGAAGAGCAGCCCCTGAGCACTCTGAGCTCCAGGTCAGACAGGGCCTTCAGCCTCTCCTCCCATGGCTGCCTGGGTCACGAAAGCGAGCATACCAGCTTTTTTTACCTGCACAGCACATCTAGCTGAGCTGCCTGCTAGCTGGGCTGGTTTCACAGCACAGAACACTCACACCAGCTCCTTTTCAGTCACTTACCCAGCACAGAGGAAAGGTAAATTGACTTTAACGCTAAATCCTCTTGCTCACAACTCCTCTTTGAACATCATGTACAGAATTGATCTTAAGCCTTCCATTACCATTGCTGTTCTGCCTTCCCTGATGGAACAACAGGTAAATGCTTGCTTCTCATGTGGCTCCCCTTGGTTCATGGCTGTGGCAGATCATCCCATTTCCAGGGTATTTGGTTTTCTGAGGTGTATCTGAGGCTTTTAGTTTGACCCTCCCAAGGACCATGGGTGCTGGACGTCTTTGTACTCTTCCGTGAAGCACTGAGAATCCAGTCCTGTAGGTGTGGCTGTCAGTAGTGGTGCTGGCGACAGGTCCTTCTTGTGTTTATAAACTGTACTTGAACCCAGATAAAGTTTGTTATTCTAGTTTTTTGCCAAAACAAATAAAATATTTCTGAAGTTTTTTTCTTTGTAAAGTTTGCTGTTGCTGCAAGATGATGCAGTGGATCACAACCGATGACAGAGGCTGTCTGTGCACTTATCTCTTCTCAGTCCCTTACTTAAGAGGCTGCTGCTTGCACCCCAGCTGGTGAGGGCCGGGTGGCATTAGAACATACACAGAGGACAACAGCTGCTGTCATACAGCTCGCCACAGCAGCTTGCAGCACTGTTAGCTCCAACTGCCTGTGTGCTTCAAAAACCTATCTTTCAACTAAAGCACAAAGCTGCAAACAACTCCTCTTGCTCTTTTCTGAAAGTTTCAGTAGAGAACACCCAGAGCAGGGGTGTTTGTAAGGGCAGGCTACAACAGATTTCATTTCCTAGCTTGTTATAAAGTCTGCAGCTTGTGAAAACCCTTACCCCTCTCCCACAAGCCGGGACAGGGACTGCATCACTGGTACTTACAGCAAGAAAAAGCCCAGCACCCCTCGCAGTGTAGAACCCTTGGGACCAAGTGAGTGACAGTGCAGCTGTTGTGTTTGGAGGAGATGGGTTTCCTCACGCCTGAGGGATGATTCAAGGGGTGTTGCCCACTTAAGTTCTAAGCCTGTCTCGAATTCTCCTAGGAATTCTCCTAGGAACCAAGAGTCAGGAAGAAAAGACAGCAGGGAATACACTGAGCTATAATAAATCACAAGTAACTGAGCACTCCAGCCTGCTGTCCCCTGAGTTAGCATTTTTAGGGTGAAGGATGAACTTAACACAAGCTAATACGTCTCATCCCTTTCCATGCTTTTGGTTTGCTACATGCTCAAAGATCATGGACTTAAATTAACTTAGAGATAGTTTTATGCTTACACAGCAGCCCAAAGCAAGCAGGATCAGTGCAAGTTAGGAGTGAAACAGCACCACCTTGGTCAAAAAAAGAGGTTATGAAGTAACTGAATGCACAGCCTTCAACCCCTCCTTCCCCAGGAGCAGGGCTGCACTCTGTGGTAGCAGACAGCCGTCTGACCTTACCTGTGGGGTCCTGTGCCTTCACAGAGCAGCCAGCAAGGAGTCCAGCGCAGCCGGGACACTGTTCTAGTAGCTGCTCGTGGATACACAAGCACTGGCTACAGCTGCTGGCCCCAAGGCAATTGCTGTGAGCTTTTTTTGCCCGCATGAAAGCTTTATTCGGTTAGATACAAAACAGGGTGCTCTGCTACTGCGGATCCTCTCGATGGTCTGAATGCTCCTGCTCTTCTTCCTCTTCTTCCTCCCCTTTGTGTTTTTCCAATTTTGCCATGAGCTCTGAAAAACAGGAATAGACAGGATGAGTGTCCAGGTGCAGGGACTGTCCCACACCAGAGCCCGGTGCCCAGGTCCTGTCAACATCCATCTCCACACCAACTGGGGCAGCTGCCAGAAATCCCTTGCCCACGCAAAGGCTCAGCCAGGAGCTACCACCGCTTGCCGAGTCCAGGGCATCGGGTGTTGCAGGCACAGTTCTCAGTGCACAGCTGACCTGCCAACTGCAGCATCAGAGAAGCTGCTGCCTCCGCTCCCACAGTGCATCTCCCAACCCTCCCGAGTGCCTGTCCATGCAAGCACAGATGACCATTCTGCGCCTATACAGCCCTCCAGGCCCTGATTTAGTGTCTCCTGGCTCTGCTGGCAGCCAGGAGTTGTGAGCTCCAGCTTAGGGCCAGGCCCAACACCAAGGAGACACACCAGGAGCTGGTGCCTTCGCTGCTCCGGTTGCTCCCGCTGAAAGCCCTCTCTCCCACAGGTGCACGGTACCTTTTGCTGGGTTGAAGACTCCATTGGTTTGCTTGTCACAGACGTAGCAGCGCTGGGATTTGCGATAGTGTTGGAGGGCACAGCTCTCACAGAAGTAGTGCCTACACCTGTACAGAGACACAGATGCCACTGTGGGTCACCATATACAATCACTGTGTCCAGGAGTTAAAAGCTACTGCCTGCTGGTCCCCGGGGGATGTGAAAGTGAGCTGCGTGCAGAGCTTCCTCTACAGCACTGTCCCCATGGAAGGTGTTCCAGCATTGTTCCACAGATGTGGAGTGATGGCACAGAGCCACCAGCAAGCTATTCCAGACACCAGGTACCCAGTGAGACAGCCAGTGGTGCAGGAGAGGGCTGGGAGCGTGTGACATCCACGCCATCCCCCCAGCCTCCTCACCTGCCAAGCTCTGGGCTTCCCCACGCTTCTGTTCCTCTGCTCACGCAATGCAGCGGGCCATTCAGTGCCCAGGGGGAATGAAGGCATGAAAACAAAATCTCAAGGTTAAGAGGAAAGATGATGTAACAAGGCAGCGTCTGTGGAAACCTAAAAGCTGCTTGGACAACAAAGGCTTGAGAACCCATCCAAGGGGATGCTCCGTATGCAGTTACGAGGCTCCCTGGTTATCCAAGGATTTCCCCACCCACCAGAAAGCCATGGCAGACAAGTGGCAGGTTCCACCCACCAGCCTGTGGGCAGTGTTTGTATTTCCCTCAACAGGGAATGATGCGTGAACTGGCTCAACAGCAGACACTTGGCTCCTCATGCCAAAACAACCACTCACTTGGTGACCACAGGATTCTTGAAGGAACTTCTGCAGATGAAGCATTTGAAAGGCATATCCTCCTCGTCGCTGCTCACCTCATAGTTTTCCTCATCTGCAGAAGAGAAAGTTAACCAGACTGGAGCAAAAGCAGAGGCAGCCAGACCAGCCCATGCGTGGGGCATGAAATATTAAATATGGAGAGAGCACAGCAGGTGGGTGGGATTAAATCTTGGCTGAAAACAATAAAGCTCTGGCATCTGGGTGCTGCTGATGTCAGTAACACATGTGGGACCGAGATATAATTAGGTCTAATGAGCTAGTGTGCCTGTTGCTCATCTCACAAGAGCAAATTCTTTTCCACCTCGCCCACTCACTGCTATAAAGAGACACATCCTCCAGCCCCCTCCTATTTTTTAGATTTTCTTCCAAACCAGCTGCTACCAAACTCTCTGGCTCCAACTGAACAGAGAACACCCTCTTCCCCGCAACTGCACAGTGCTTCATGAGCAACACTCATGAGCCTTGGGCCGCAGCTACGGACACCGCGAGTGAGAAGTGATGATGGGACACAGTATGAAAGCGTCCCACCTCCTGGGCAACTGGGGGGCAGGAGATGGGCACATCTCCCCAGCTCCACACAGCTCGTTGCTGGGACCCACACAACAGCAGTGCTCTCCTTTTATAAAGAGCCAGAGGAAATAGTTCTCTCCGGTGGCAGGCAGTCGTTCTCTGAAAGCAGCAGATTTACTCAGCACTGTCAGTGGTTACTGGCCCTAAGGTTATCCTGCAGCAGGGAGTTCCACAGCTTTGAAATAAAGTGTCCTTTCTGTCTAATATGAATTCAACCCATGGCCCATGCAGTTTGAGATGGCGGAGGACCCACTTCATTCTTAGTGATCCAATATCCCCGAGTCACGTTCACTTTAGGGCATGATAAAAGGCAAGACCCGGCAGCCTCATCCACCACGAGCTTTGGGAGAGCAGAGGGGTGGTGCCGTACCATTGACTCCGTATCGGCCTTCATCCAGTTCCCGTTCGATCTGCCAGCCGTGTTTGTAGTCTGAGCGGTCGTGGAGGAATTTGCAGCTGTCTGAGCAGCACAAAGAAAGAGGAATTAACAGCTAGGCTGTGCGGGGTAGAGTGTTAACAGGACACCTCATTCAGGGGCAGCCGAAGCTTTGCCCAGCAGAAGGTAAAACCAGGATTGCTCCCCCGCCCACCTGTGCTCCAGGGCAGCGCCGAGCTCCTGGAGCAGGCACAGGATCCCTCTCGGGGTTGACAGGACACAAGGATTGTGCTCTGTGTGCCACGGTGACAGTTGCAGCCATTTACACACATGGGAAGCAGGATAAGGGATGGGAAATCCTATCCCTCACGTGGCCTCAGCGGCCAGAATACCTGTGGGAGTGTGGATCACTGGACCATGCCAGGTGCCCTCCCAGGACTCTTACCACCACTGATTAGAGCCCATCAGCTTTCAGAAGGGACAACACAAATTACAAGAACATTACACAAAACAACTTCGCACAGCATCACACGCCAGGTCTGCAAACAAGTGCCTGTGAATCAGTACGCGCACATCTCGGCACCGCAAGACGGGATCACAAGCTGGACTGGATCCCTTTGCAGCTCTGGCCCAGCACGTGTTCAGCCGCAGGCAAGATCCGCCCACCTCCAAAGCCGCAGAACCCAGTTTCTTTGTAGTCTTTGCAGATGTCGGGCTGGTAGTCCCATCGCACCGTGGCCCGCAAGTGCTCCGGAGCACGGATGGGTCCTTTTCTGAAAGGGTGGGAGAAGGCTCAGGCCGGCTGCGCAGCTGCACTGGAGAAGGCCCCTGGGGGCCTGGTCAGAACCAGACACGGGACTCGTTAGACAGAAGGAAGCTGGCAGTACCAGCAAAGTTCAAGCCCCAAACAGGTGCCCTCGGGGATGGTGCCTGAGCTCCTCTGTGGTGCCAGTCCTCTGAGGCTCTTCCCAACCTACCTGACCATTCCTGAAGAGGCGTTCCCCATTGATGTGTCCTTGGGCTTCACGTACTTCTGGTAGTTGTTAATACCACGGTAAATTTTATCATCTTCCTTTCCTCTCAGCTCCTAGGAAAGCAAAAAGAAAGGTCATTAAGGATCAGGAAAGCTTCATGACACAGACTGGCTTTCAGCACTCTGACAGCGGTCTCTGCTCCCAGCCCTACGTTCCTCAATACCAAGATGCCACTAAAGCCAGAAAATTCCCCTATTTGCAAGTGTTACACTCCTGGCTTCTCAAATTTCCAGGGAGGAAGAGACTCAAACTCTTCTTGGTGTGCAGAAGGGGATGAATAAAGCACGTCTGCTCCTGCTGGAGAGCAGTAGCTCCTACAGAACAAGGCTGACTCACCTCCTGGATTTTCTGGCTGCGCTCGAAGATGGCCTGGGCATCTTTCTCTTTCTCCGTGTCCAGTTCATACACTGCTGTGGCTCCCATGTCTTCTGGGCCAACAGGTTTCTGAAAAGCAAGAAGAACTTGTAACAGCGAAGAGCAAACCTGTACGAGACAGAGAGCTCCTTGGCTACCTGAAGGGTTGGTCACAAAGCACTGGACGTGGCCTGCTTTACCTTCCACCAGTTTCTACCATCCCTTAGCACCTGCCAGCGAAAATGCCCCATGGGCCGTATCCAGCCTAGCGCTTGCAGAGGCCAGAGTGCTAATTACCCTCTGGATCCAAGCTTTAGCCTGCAGCATCAGGAAACACTTGTCCCTGCTTTACTCCTTCACGCTCAGCCTCGGCTTAGCTGGAAGCGGAACTCAGGTCTCTGATGTCCAACACTTCAATCATGGGACCAGCCCACCTACACGCAGGATGTTATGTCTGAACTTCTAATTCAGCTGTGGGTGGCTTAAATTCAGTTTTAATACAGTGATCTGGTTTAGATTCCTCTTTAATGGACTAGACACCTACTCCTAGGCTTTATCAGATCTTCACGAACAGCTGCACAGAAACCAAAGCATAATTATAGCCAGCCTCAATTAAAACCAAATCCAGCTTAAGCGCCAAAAGCTTCTGGAGCGCCAAAGCTGTCATCTCCTCCTGTTCCCACTCTCCCACAGCAGGGAGGGCTAACAACCCGCTGCCCCCCTTGGCAGCAACAAAAGCAGTGAATAATTACAGCACAAAGTCATATTCATATTAATCTTGAATGTGACAAGGAGACCTCAGTCTGACCCTGCAGCTTTGACTGGAGACAGCTAGGCATTATTTCCATTTTATGCAGAAAGACAGAGGCACACGCAACAAGGAAACAGGTCTGAAGAGGATCACGTGTTGATACCTGCTTTTAGTCCTACTGCCACCCTGCCCAGGCTCACCCTAATGCGCAAAATTTCACTGGACCAAGAGGAGAGAGAAGCGAAAAATCCAGTGGGAAGAGCAATCCGAGCTGTGCCCAAACCTTCCCAGCTCTCCTCTCCCGATGGTAACGGGACCCCAGGACAGCCCACCCACCAACCCGCAGAAAGCAGTGACCTCTGCCTGTAGCTCTTACCCCAGCACTACTCACAAGGACAAAGATGGGAGCACCTTCTAAGTCACCCTGAATTCTTTGTGGAGGAAGATGGTCTAAAACTAGAAATGCAAACCCAACAGTAGGGCAAACCTGACTGAAGTGCTCCCTCTCCTGAAAATTTTGTGCGATGTTGGGCAAGTCCAGTGGTACCTTGGGCTTTTAATTCCCAACCGAGAGGGAAAGGCCAACCTTAAATGGCCTCCTGAGGATGCAGGGGGTATTGGGAGAATACACCTAGCACAAGGTGCTTGTCTATGAGAAAGGAAGGGACAGGGAGCTGCATCTATAGATAAAAAAGAAGGAATGGCTGATCCCACATTTGCCAGGGGCAAATTCTACTGAGTGCGGGATCTGCCGGTCCCACCTGACCTCACACCCCACAACCACGTTCTTGCCCAGTCCTTACCGCCGACCTTGTCGATTTGTAAGTGACTCCAATCTCCTTCGACGGATCCTCATCGTCACTGCTGCTCAGCGCATACGAGGGCCTCTCCTTCGTGCATCTCCTGGTCTGAGGGGCAGGAAGACAGCAGGTATAAGGATGCAAGGCTCCAACACCGTGTCCAGCTTGAGCCTGGCAGGCCACTATGGATGCACCTCGGACAGAGCAGTGCCCTGCTGTGGCTCCCTTACCTTCTGGATCATGGGGTTGGGGGTCTCCCGCCGTCGCTCCTTCCGCACCACCGTGCTGCCCTCCTCACCGCTGCTCTCTGAGGGGTAAAGCCCAGGGGTAAGGGTCCACCGCAGGACCTCAGCCCAAGCGCAGGCTCTGCTGGCAGCCTCCCCGCTCTGAGGGCTAGGGACGCCCAGAGAAAGTGCGAGGCCGGTGGAACCCCCGAGGGCGGTGGCGCGGCCGCGGAAGA